TTTTGCTTTTTTTTCTTAATTCATTATTATGCAATTATTACACAAATTATCATTATTGTTATAAAAATTTTTTTATTCACTACGTTATTAAATAATCTATTTATAAAACTAATTGTTGAAATTAGTTCAACAAAGAACTTTATTATAATGATTTTTATATGCTTAGTTTATATTTAAAATCATAATTTATAAACATATTGTTATTACTTTATATATATATTATTATTTTTTTATATTAAACATTATTTCTTATAATATTTTTTTATATCCATCATTTTTCTTTTTTTTTTATAACTTTATAACAATGTAATTATTACCCAAATTATCATGACTGTTATACACATTTTAATATGAAATATGTTAATTAAAAATTAATATTAATTTTATTATTTCTATAATCATATTTGCTTACTGTTTATATTAAAAACCATTATTTATAAATTTAGTATTATTATTATTATTATTACATATTTTTCCATGTAATTTTATTAAATTTATTTTATAATTTTTTTAATATTATTTTATTTCTATTATATTTGCATGAATACACAAAAATGTTAATTTAACTGGAAAACTGAAAAAAAAATAATTAAAATTGGAAACAATTAAGTATTATTGCAAATTATTTAAAATATTTAAACTTTACAATATAAATTATAATTTTACAAAATATATTTGTTCAGGAGAATACATCAAATACACTTAACATATATATTTTATATATACAAAAATACATATACTTCTATACAAATATTCAGATACATAAATCTATATTCTTTCAACAATGAACAACATTTATTTATAATAAATATGTGCAATTATTTAGTTAATTTGCATATAAAAATTATATTTTTCCATATCCATTGGAAGCGTACAAGGAGCTTGACTTTTTGCAATTCTATAAATTTTTATATATAAAATATATAAATATTTATCTATATATTAAAATATCATTCTCCTTTATTTTCAGAAACCATGTTATTATATCTTCTAATATTTTATTTCTTATAAAATATTTATATACAGTACTATATGTATATATTTACACTTTGTTAAGGTTTATATCAATAATTTTAAAAACTATTTGTGTTCGAATGTGCACCAGCTGTCAATTTTGCCTATATTAATTATTATTAAATTAAATATAATATAATATTTTTGTTATTCTATATTATACATATATATATAAATATATATATATATATACATGTAGGTTATTTTACACTTAATATATACTAACACACAGATAGGGAATTGACAATATACATTTATAGCTCAATTGTTATTAAATATGTTGCGCAATTCGTTGATTGGAGAGGAGAAGTGATGGAGAGAGACATTATTTTTTTTCATAAATTTATTTATAATGATTTTATTTTTTATGATATTTTAATATTAAAATTGTAGAAAATAAACTCTTTAAAGCTATTAAATATAATAAATAAATTAAGAAATCGAATGCTAATGTAATTTTTTAAATTGAAACTATTATCATAGAAGTTTTTAAATCACAAATTTAAAATTTATCATATTCTACTTACATATTGCAACAAAAGAATAAGAAATCACTTTTTTAAAATAATAAATATTAATTATTATTAATTTTTAAATATTTTAAAATAATATATTTTAATTTTAAGCCAATAAAATATGAAAACCTATATTCATTTTATATAACTTTTAAATAATTTTATCTAATTAATACAAAATCTGATCTTTCCTAGATTGACTCGGTTCCAGCAAATGTCATAATTGCATTTGTACTTTTTATTAAATCACTAATGATACGTGATGATAATACACAATATTTTATGTATTAAAATGTTAAGCTCAGAAATGAGTGCATAATTTCATTACCATAAATGCTAATCATTAAGTAAAGAGTATTATGAATAATGTAGTTAGTACCTTAACGTAAGCTTATAAATAACTATGTATGTGTACAGTAACATAATGAGCTAAAATGCTTAAGTGATTATTTAGGATCGCCCTTTTAACGTAATCTAACCTTTACAGAAACTGACAGAATCGAATTCAATGTGTGACCACCCATGTTATATTAAATTAAGACATCTTATATTAATATTTGTGTGAAAACATATTATAGTGGATCACCAAAATGATCTGTCACTATTGGATAAAAACACTTACAACACTAACTCTTGATTTAAAAATTAATTTATTTATGTAAATAATATATATAAATATTATTGTGATAAATGGGAATTTAATTTATTTGTTAATTCTATGCGATATTGTAAAAAATAAACAATAATAAACTATAAAAAGATAGATGTAAAAAAAAATAATTACAAAAAATATTATATTTGTTTACATGTCTGTAAGATTTCTATTCACCAAAACATAAGAAAAATTGCTGAAGTCTCTGAAACCATATCTGTATAAAAAACTATAAATTATATTTTTGTTCTAAATAAAAAATTAATAAAAGTAAACAATATACAAATAAAACTATAAATAATAATAATAATAGTATTTATTTTTAATTCTTTCGAAAATAAAATTATGTACGAAATAATTATATAAATAGAAATTAAAAACAGAAACAAAAGAAAATTATTTTGCATATTTTTATTTATTAATTTATTTTAAAAAATGTAATTTAAACTTTTTTTCTACAAATTATATTCTTACAAACAACTTACTAAACATTTTATAATTAAACAATTTTTTTACAAAGAACTGAAAACAAATTTCATTGCTCATTGCGCCCAAAGTCCAAAGTACAGTTTTTTCTTTATAATGTAATAGTAATTATAATAATAGTAATAATAATAATAGTAATAATAATAATAATTTAAATTTAAGGAAAACAAAATGTATTTGAGTACTAAATAGAATTATGTAAATTAAAAACTAATGAACATCATTGCATAAATTATTACATATAATATATAATTTCCAAATTAAACAAATTTTAATAAGTGTTGATAATTAAAACTAATTTTTAAATGATATGACTGTAGTTCACTGCAAAAAATATTAACTTAAACTATTATTGAAACTTAAACAGATGCGTATTGACTTCAACTTAAAAATAATACATATATATATGTATATATATATATAAATTTAAAAAATGACAAAATATATATATAAATATATATAGAGTAATGAAATGAATGGCATTTAATTAAATTATTTAAGGACAAGTAAATATAGTAATTCATTTATTTTCAATATTAATTAATTAATATATGAAGTATATTTATTTGTAAAAATAATTTGATTTTCTTTGTAAATGTTGCTTTTCATTGCACGAAAATTAAAAATTGCACAAATATTGTAAGTAGAAAATGCTTTTCTTTTTTTGATTGAAAATAAAAGTTTTGATTATGAGTATAAGAGAATGAATTTCTATAAAATAGAAATATTTTGAAAAATATATTATTTAAAGAATTAAATCTTAATAATAATAAATTATAAAAAAGTATTTATGTATCTTATGACTTTCAGGGTTTACGTATATTCAAGTTATGAAAGTAACGTGCATTATAATTCTAATTAATTGCTTCACATATGACAGCAATATATGTCATTCATAATTTTTGTTTTTTATTAATTTATTTATCTTTTGTATATAACAATTCAATATTAACAATATATTAGGAAGTTCATTAACAAATCTTCACATATATATTTATTGCATTAATATAATTATTTTAAATTAATTGAAGTCTTCATTTCTGAAGAGCATTTTTAAATTTGCATATCTTATTTGTATTTGATTATTTATAGTTATTATTTATTTATAATGTTTATATTTCACTTCTCACAGATGTACTAACAATTACTTAAAATATATTTTTTATTTTTTTAAATATTTTTTATACTTTAAAATTTCTTAAGTTTTGTAAAAATTTTACAAACTTTCTAAAATCAATAATTATTATGATATTTTATATAATTTAACATTTAATTATTTTATAAGATATGACACTTTTTACAAATTTAATTTTAACTTATTTATTTACTATAATTACTTTTGTTCTATGAGTAATTTTTGCAAACGAAATTAACTTATTTATCCCTAATCTCTATATATAATAATATATAATATTACAAATATTTTAATTTCAATGGATGATAAGTCTATCTCTTTCAGTATTTATGCCATTTCTTATAACTATCACCTAATATAGTAAACATTTTTATTTTATGTTTTAAGATAGCTACATATACACAATATGCAGAAACAACAAAAACAATAATGACAATAACAATTTCTTAAATTTGCTATTAAAGAGTTTTAACGCAGTTCCCCTTTTGAGGTATACACTAGTATTGCCCTAGAGCAGTGTTATTCAAGATGAGGTCTACGGCCCACAGGAGGATCATACGAAATTCATCTAAATCTGTCTAAGTCTGTCTGATTAATTAACAAATATTTCGCAGTTAGGATAAGTTTTCTAAAATCTTTACATAAGCTATTGATAAGTACCCGTAATTTTTACTGAAAAAAGAAACTAGTAACTTCTGTCTGTCAAGTTTAATCGTGATTTCATTAATTAGAGTGTAATAAGACTCAACTTGAGTCTTAGACTCTAAAAATCATGACATGAAGAGACTAGTCGGTTTTTCGGTGGGGCACAGTAGGTTATTGTTCAATAACGACCGCCCTAGAGTACTATATTGTATCTAAAAACAAATTTGTACATAAATGTCTAGCATTTACTACATACATTATTATAACAGTTTAGACTTATTGACTCATTTCTATACAAAATTAATAATAAAATATTATTTTCTATTTTATAGATTGTTGTGCACAATCTATATTATTAATTAACAACAAAAAAACTTAACAAACTCATGCTGCACTTTATCTGCTCCGCTGCTGTTTTTTTTAATAAAATTCCTTGGTTTTAAGTATTGGAAATTATATTAATTAAGGTTTCATCTATATCCGGCATACATTTTTAAAAATATTTATAAGCATTTATACCATAATGTGTTTGTTGTTGTTGATGTTGTTGTTGCTGCTGAAGTGCTTTGTAGCTTAAATTGTTGTATTTGTTGCTGCTATTATAATTGTTACTGTTAAAGCCACGGTAACGCATTTGAGGTACGGTCAACATATGCTGTTGGGTGTTACTGTTAATGCTGCTGTTATTGTTAATGTTATTGTTAACATTACTGCTATTGTTGTAGTTCATATTGTATGTTGCTGAATTTTCAGTATTATTGGTTGTGTTAGAGTTAGTCATTTTGTGATGTAATTGATATTTTGTTGATGTTGCATTATTTGACAAATTATTATTTGCATGCAGGTGTGTACCATGTGTACCATGTGGCTATGTTGCCCAGCCACCTGATATTCTGGGACGTTTGTGCGGTTGATTTGGACCACCATCATAGTCATTGCACTGTTGCTGCTGTTGCTGATGATTGAGGCCGGCTGCTGCCAAACGTAAATCTGGCGATGGCACATTGGTGGGCGTTACGGAACCTGTATTAAAAATAATAAAATCTGTTAAAGTATTAGTTAGAGCTATACAATTCTTTAAAAAATAGGACTTGGTTTAGGATTATGTTGGATTAATTGTATTACTGGCTGTTTGTTTGGTTCAATTCAAACACATCTAGGCGTTCTAGTTTGTTGTTCGTTAATAAGAAAAAAAATAAACAAATACTGTTAAAAAAATGCAACTTTTAAAGTTATTAATTAGTTATATTACATTACTTTTTAATTAAGCATATAGGTATTGTATCTAGGCATTTAACTTTTCATTAAAAAGGCAATGTTAATTACTCAACTTGATAAAATTATTAACAAAAGAGAGTATAACTGCTATGGTAAAAAAATTTATATAATCTATCTATAGTTCAACCAAATTTAAAAGTTATCAAATATATATGAAATTATATATATGTATATTTTATTTCTATTTGTATAGTATTACTACAACGCTTATCATTTTTTAAATACTATACTTTAAAGAATGTCGAAAGTATGAATGTATGCTATATCCTAAATAAATTTACACGAAAAACCCTTTATCCAACTAATTATAATATAATTTATTGGTAAACACCACTATATAGTATGTATTTATGATTTAAATGGATATGTTAAGCTTGAGAAAATTTTACTAAAAATAATGTTATTCTTTTAAAATGTAATATTAATTTAAAAATTTGATAATAAAAAAATATAGAAATAAAAAACAATACTAAATGATTCCTTACTAGGAGCTTTGTTCTCAAAACTTCAAAAAAGTCAAAACTTTTTTTATTGCAACTAATAACTGCTGACAGTTGGAGGAAGCAGATGGACTTTACTCATATTTTAAAAATCTTTTGAAAATTTTATGCATATAAATACACATAAGCTTAAATAACTTTTAAGCCTTATAAAAAAACATATAATTAAATGTTTTGAAATTGCTTTAACTACTTTGAAAGACTAGAAATTAAGAATTGCAAATTAAGAATCTTTCAGTATTCCGTTGGCAGTAATACTTTCAAGGAATTTATTGATATCAAATTTGTCTAGAATTTGTTCTGAGCTAATTTAAAATATGGCGACATTTTAATTTTTAAGTCTCTAATACCTTTAATATTTTTTTGCCATAAAAAAAAGATTAGGTAATGATGATCCAGACTCTTTTTTTTACTATAAAATAATATTTAGTTTATAAAATTGTTTTAGTATCTCAAAGAATGTTCTAGTTAAGTTTATTACTCTATTCGTTTAATTATTCACAATTATTTCGAATCCCTACTGAATCTCAAGACACTCTTTAAGAGAAGGTTTTGCAACTGGTTAGGTTTCTATAGTAGGTCAGTTCTTGGTATGATCTAATTAAAATATGAATTCCATAAGTAACGAAAATGCAGAATCATTGATAACCATTTAAACGTAGAGTTTAAATTAGAGAGATAGATTATAGTCAATATATCACCGAATAATATATTTTAAAGGCATTCATTGAAATCAGAACAGAGTTTTTATTTTCTCTGTTATAATAATCGAGAAATAAAATCAAGAATTTGGGAAGTAGGTTATACAAAAGCTTTATTCTTTAGGTACATGTTATACTAGCGACATATAAGTCCTACATTATCTAAAACCACTGCTGTTAACATTGCTTACAATTCCATATAAATAAATAAAGGATTGAAGATAAACATAATTCAGTTAACTGTATATTAAACATTTTCTATTTGTTGAGATCAAGTATATATAAATAAAGCTGCAGAAGCTCTTTTATAATATCATCATAGAAAAAAAATAATGTCTAATGTTAATTTTTAAATCCTTAAAAAAATATGCATATAAAGTATGTTTCTTTATATGTATACTCTTATAAATGTGTATATATTTCACATAGTTTGTTTTATCTTCAAGTAATATTCTAAACTAATTTAAAAACAAATAACTATGGCATTAATACAATTTTTCTCTACATATAAATATTTTTCAATTAATTTATAATTAATTATTATGTTTTAGGTAATTGGAAGCCAGGCAAAATAATTGAAATATCTCTTTTGTTCTACAAAGAAAAAGAATTTTAGGTATTCCTTAGATTATTAACAAAAAGGAATTATTGTTTGCTACCTATTATCTGAACGTTATAAGCTACCAATACCACGAAGCCATTATATGCAAGGAATTAGTAGGATGCTTTCATATACAATATATAAAATACATAACTGACAAAAGTTACTCGAGCTAAGATTATTGCATGCATATAAGCGGTTTTATAAGCAAAAATGTGTTGATGTATATGTGTGTAGTTGATGTGTTGATGTGTATGAAAATATGTGCAGGTATTTGTATTTTGTATGTTTATGTATATGTATATCTGTGTAACTGTGTTTTTGTGCTATTTGAGAAATTTTGGTTTAACTTTCAGAAATATTTTAAAGTCTGAATTTTGAAGTGCCAAAATGTCATATAAAGTAGAGAAAATAAATAGATTCATAAATAAATCGGAAGATTGAAAATTTAATTTTTATAAATTAGCGATAAATCGCATATCTAAGTTTTGAAAGGATACTATATAAAGTATATAGCATAAATATAGTATTATGTAAAAATATATCAAATAAAAACATTTTCAAGTTTAAGGATAGTACATTTTTTTTAAAACATAAGGTGAATATAAAGGGCTGAGAGTATGATGAGCTTGATATATAGTTGTTTAGATATTACATGTATATATATAAAACGATTTTAATATATTTTTTTTATATTTTTGGCCAATTTACCGGCTAAATTCCATAATCTAGAATTAGGACCCAGTTGGGAGCGGTATGGATATCCTTCATATTTATCTAGCACTGTATTTATGCAAAGAAAATAAAATAAAAAATACGAGAAAAAATAGTATCACTTGTTTAATTTTAATTAATTATTAAAATTTCTATTTATAATTTCAACTAGAATAATTAACACTTGTAAGCTGTATTTTATGTACCTAAGCCAACTGATATGTAATTAATATCTCTTCTGCATTAAATAATTTCTCATATTATTAATATTTTACAATATTTTTTATATAAAATTAAACAATGCAATAAAAAAAAATTATTTTATGAAGTTTACGTGTTTGTTGCTAACAATATTTGAAATCTGTTTGCATCAAAGCAATCAATAATTTGCTATACAGCAAAAATGTTACTCATACGCACCGTATACTGTATTTCAACTACGATTTGCTTTCTCTGTTATGTTGTTTATTTTATTATCATGTTAATTTTTCGTATTTGCTGTTTGAATATTAAATTAAGCATTAACTTTAATACTATATTAATTGAAAAAACTTTAAAAAATTGATTTTCATGCCGCAACTAATGCGTAAACATTACAACTTTTAGTAATGTATCAACAGAAAGGAAAAAAGAAAAAACTATAACAAAAAAAATTTTGTTTAAATCTTGCGCTATTAATAATTATTATTATTAATTAGTTAAAAATTTTTATTAAATAAAATTTATTATTAAAACGCTACAAAAACTTTTTGAAAAAAATCTAAGCGTTGTTATGTCTACAAGTAAAAAAAAAATGGAAAAATTTCAACTTACCAGGAGTTGGCGTCAAATGACCAGTAGATGAAGGACGAGATCCTGACATGCCAAGATGCTGTTGCGAATGACCTAAAACACTCAAATTAGCAGCTTGTTCTATAGAACCATTTGTACTACCAGTAGTACCATTTCCACCATTACCTCCGCCTGATATAACACCACTACTATTCATGCCAGTAATCGATAATGCATTGCTGTTACTATTACAACCACCTATGCCAAGATTGCCTCCACCACTACTACTAGCACTGCTACTAACACTTCCCGCAGAACCATTACTATTTTGCTGATGGCCACCAGAGAGATCACGCGGTGGGGATTGTGGCTCGGATTTCACTTTTATATGTATGGGTGAGGAGGCGGGTGGAGGTGTACTATTCGAAACAGCTAAATGTGACAGACTGTTTTTGTGAAGAAAAAACCAAAAAATATAAATTATTAACAAAATAAAATTAAATTATTAAATTATGAAATATCTTATTTCATTACATTATTACATTATTAATTTATACAAAAAGCTATAGGTTTATTTTAAACAGTGTTTGAATATAATACCTCTTACTGTCTATATGGAAAAAAATAGTACTGAAATCTAACGTCAAAGAACTATAATTAGTAATTGAACTATGTATAGCTGTTGTTTATGCTTTCGTTATAATATTGCGAAATTCTAGGTTTAATTGCAATTAATACTGTCTCTATGGAAAATAATAGTACTGAAGTCTAACATCAAAAAAGTAAAATTAGTTATTGAACTATGTATAGCTGTTGTTTATGCTTTCGTTATAATATAAAACAGGGAATGAATTTGTTCATAGACAGAAACAACAAATTGCCAAGACTTCAAGTTAGATAATGACAGGTCAAGTACAGTATTGTTTTAGTTGTCTAAAACGCAACTCTGAGCTTCAATTTGCGATTTAAAAAATATGAATAACTTCGGTAAAAATTTGGACAGACCAATGTTGATGAGTATTTGACAATACTCGAAACAGCTATTTGGTATTTTAGTTAGGCAAAAATTTATTTACATAAAATATATTTAAGCGTTATTAAAATTTACTAATTTACTGTTTAAAACTTCTTTTTTTAAAAGTAGTTTCCATATTAAAAGTGATAAATTAAATTATTAAATTAAATTCAAATTTCAATTAATTTTAAACAATTTATTTATAAACAATTAAATTAATTTGTAATTTTTTTTTTATGTAAAGAAAGGTGTACTTATAGCTTTTGTATTTATAACTTATTATAAAAATGATATTTGTTTTTTAATTTAGATATGTACATACCTTGAATGCTGCACCAGGCTTTGATGCGAGGGCCACGAAGGTAAACTCATGACATCAGCAGAACTTATAGAGAAATCTTGTGGTGCAAATGAGTAACCCGTGAGCGCAGGAATTGGTGTTTGCAGCGTAACAACAGGTGTGTTCAGTGATGTCTGATTATGTCGCTGTTTATTGAAAGAATTTAGAAGATATGTTTATCACAATTATTAATAAATATATATTTTTGAATAAAATTTTAAAAATGTTTTTTAAACAGCATATAATTAATATATTTATAGATTAGAGATTTTTGAAATCTCTAATATTATTTTAAATGTATGTTTACGATTTTATTTTTTGAAATTTTCACATTACTTATTAATTTAATTTTTTATTTAATTTTAATTATATTTGACTATCTATTTATGAAGAAAATCTAGAGATATTTCAAGTATAAAAAAAATTAAAATTGGGATTTATGTTTTACATAGAAAAACTAATTGAAAATTTTTTATTTTAATTTAAGTGAAACTTTTTATTCCTCACCTATTTATTCATAGTAAATATACATCACTGTTATAATATAATTTTATACAGTACTTATTAATTTATTTAAAAATTATACAAAGCACATTTTGTAATGACTGAATAAAGATTGATTATTGCTACTTAAGAAGTAATATGCTCTTTCTACGATTTAAAGGAAGTTATGTATATATTTGCGAAGTAAGTGTTTCATTGCTAGCCGTTGAACATAATTAATATATTTAACAAATACAATATTAATAATAATTAATTGAATTATAAAGTATCACTTCAATTCATTATGAGTTATTTTTTCAACACATTATAGAGATGTTCATGTTTATATTACTTATAAACATAATGATACACTAAGTGTATCCATGAGAGGAGCGCGTGTAATGATTCCACATTACTCATACGCACTGTTGTTATTATTAAAAGACTAATTAAGTAATATGTAATTCATGTATATATTTTCTTAATATTTCTGTTAATTATTATATACTTATTACTTTTATTATCTTATTTATCTTATTTTTACCTCTGCATACGAAATATCATCTGGCGCTGACATGTTTTGAGCAATTGCTGGTGTTGGTATGACAACGCGTAAATTGGAAGCACGTCCATTTTGACTGCCCGGGGACTGTTGTTTATGCGGCAAGTGATGTGCTAAAAGTAAAATAAGATAAAAAATAACAAAAAAAAAGAAAAAATGTTAGACAAATTGTATAGCAAATTCGAAGAACAAACTTGAATCAAAATACAAAATATGTATAAGCAGATGTTAAAAAATTGGTACAAGGATATAAGTTCGGAAAAGAAATATAGTATAAGGACAAATAAAGAACTAATTTTAGCAGTTCAGTATGCGTTACTGCTTGAGAAATCTAAAATTGGAGTGGTAGTTAGAAGAAATTGAAAACTAATAAATATAAACTGGAAATAATAAATAATTATAGTTTTAAAACTCAATAAGTATGGAAGTTTTTTTTTAAAGAATTTTTATTTTCTTGTTATTCAATTATTTGCTTTATAAACCAAGCCGTTAGTACATGCTAAACGTTTCTGAACTACTTTTTGTTAGCTAATTTGTTATTAATTTTGAATTGTATTTGATATTGTTTATTTGCCCACCTAAGCCAGGACTTGGACCCGGACTTGGTGATCCACCAAGTGGCGAATGTGAATGTGGATAACCATTTGACATCTCCAACATGGAACCCGATTGATAAACTGTTTACGTTGTTTTCGTTTAGTACGTATATAAATTGCGTACAGATGCGATGAAATAGAAAGAAAGTATATATGAAAAAAATTTATTTTATATAGAATTACGTAAAATATCAATTGTGCAAATTTTGTGCAAAAATTATAAGGATAAAACAAAATGAAACATAAAAACATTTAAGAAGAGAAGTAAATAAAAATTTCTACTGACTTGAAAAATGTTATATAATAAATAAAAATTTTAAAAGTTAATAAAACATATTGATAAGAAAATAAAGTTTTTAAATATTCTCTATACATGCTTAGGGTGGGAAATAAAAGGGTAAAAGCGAGGATATAATTTTATATTAGATATTGAAAAAGTTTTTTTTTTAATTTGTTATTAATAGCTTTCAATTAAAAAGGAATAATAAAGTAAGAATCTGTAAGAATTTTTAGGATTTCAGAAGAAAATTTTTGTTTTTCAAACAATAGTAAACACAAAACAACAACAAAACAGAACAAAATATAAAAAATGTGCTTCAACACTAACTTATCAATGACATCCCACCTGAATCCGAACTAGCTGGCCTGGGACTTATGTTCGTGTGGGACATTTGCGGACTGGCTTGCAGCATTGCTTCTCCATAAGAACCGGCTACTGGTACTGATACTGGTAACGTATAATTAGAATTTGGCATATTTCGTCTATCTCCACCGACCAGTTGACTGCGTTGCATAACCATTTGAAAGTCTTCATCAATTTTATTATATTTAGCTTCGGTGCGGGGCGTTAGTGTGAAGTCAGTTTCTTGTTCTGGTGAATCCGGTGACATTACACCGTTTTTATTTTCTTTCTGCAAAAAAAAAAAAAATAATAATATATATTATATATGTAATAGTTGTAAGAAAATATTTTTCTGTCTAAACTTTTTCATTACTAATAAAATATATTACTAATATAATATTATTATATATTATTTTTTTTATTATAAATATTTAAAAGCGCCTCATAGAATGTACGATTAAAAAAAAGGGATGATTAAATTATTTACATGATTTTTAGGTCATTACTAAATAGAGAAATCCTACTTTGTATGATTTAATTACTAAGTAACTTAATTACCCTTTAAATATATACCGCTGCATACGAATTACCTACTAGATTGATTTTATATTAAAAAAAAAATTAAAAACAATAAAAAAATTTAAAATAATACTAAAAAAATTAAAAATTAAAATAATTAAAAATTAAAATAATTAAAAATTAAAATAAAACAAATGATGAAAAAACAATAATAAAAAAAAAAATAAAAATAAAAAAATAGCAATAAACTAAAAAAAACGCCAATAAAAATAAAAAATATAGTAAAAATAAAATATATAATAAAAATAAAAAAAGTAACAATGAAAATAAAAAAAATTAAAAACAAAAAAAAAGAAAAAAAATGCAAATAAAAAAATAATATATTGCTAGCTGACTGCACTAAAATATAGAATAAAAATAAAATAAAACATATAAAAAATAAAATAAAAGTTATAAAAAAAACCAACAAAAAAAAATTTTTTTAAGAAAACGTCTATATAGACATTTCCAAAATTAAAATAAATAAGTGAGGTTTTTTATTCAGTATCTTAGAGTAAAACTTTTCTGTATTTTATACACATATTTTATACTTTATATTTTTATTTTTTATACTTTATTGGCACTAATTAAAAAAATTGTTTTCGGTTGTTATTTTATAGGTGTTTTTTAAGTTTTTATTTTATGTTTTGTGTTATTTACTATAATTTATGTTTTTAATTTTTATTTAATATTTTAAATTTATAAAATAAAAAGTAATATTTTATATTGTTTATTTGTTTTAATTAATTTTAGCTTAAATTGTGCAATAGTTACTATTGAATATTTTATTTTATATTTAATTAATAATAAATTATTCAAAATCCAAACAACCAGACATATTAAATAAAAATTCGTTGTTCTCTCCTGCCACTTTGCAAAGCTCAAGTGTCATTTTGTATTAATTGTTTAAGACGAAATTATGTAAATTTAATAGAATTAACATTATAAAGCAATACACAAAACATCTGCTTTGAAAAATGCAAATTTCTCAAACGATGACAACAAAGATATTCAAAGATTCTTCTAAAATACAATTTTGTTTAGCTTCGCTGTACTTTTAGAGATGCTCAATTTACTGAATTTCATTTTACACTCAATTAAATATGAATAATTTTATGCACTGACAACGAACGAACGACAACAATTAAAATGTTTAACTTTGCTTTTTTGCTTTTTTGCTTTTTTAGTAAAACGGGTAAAATAATATATTTACAAAAATTTATACCAACTTTTTATTGTTTGACATGGTATTGACATGGTGTCGATATTTGCATAATTTAAATTTTATACTTTAAGAAAAATATTTCTACTTCAAAAACAATCAAAACAAAATGTTTGAACACATTTTTTACTTACCTCAATAATATTTTTGTTCGTCAATGATTCGTGAGGTTCATTATATTCGGTGTATTTTAATAATACTTTGTCCATATCGGTACTGGCATACTGGTACAATTTATTGCTAGATGAAAAGATAATCAGCGCAATTTCGCAATCACATAACACCGAAAGTTCATAGGCCTTTTTCATAACGCCAAATTTGCGTTTATTGAAAGTCACCTAAAAATAGACAAATAAATTTTATTTCAATAAATATCTTTACATATTAAATACTTAAATCTAATATATATACATATATAATCTAAAATGTGATGCTTTATCTATGCCATAGAAAAGTTTTAATATTTATGATCATTATATATTGGAAGAGTGCAAGTTTTTTTTCATGTTGACAAGTTCATCGGTTTGACATATAACTTTTTCTTTTTATTTCTAACGTATATCGGTTTTTTCTTTTAATTATCAATAATTAACTATCAATAAACGTTAGTACTTTTTTCATAAACACTTTTTCTTAAAAAAATTCATAAGTTCTACTAAACTTTATATACATGAATCATTTTTTTTTCAGCGAAACGACTTTTGACTTCATCATCTCTGATTTTTCAAATTTTTTATGCGCTCATTTTTAAAATAAATATTTAAAATTCAAATATTTTAAATTTATTTTACATTTAAAATTTAAAATATAAAAAATTTGAATTGTTTAAACTATTTCTAAAATATGGAGTAGTTGTCAGTTAATTTTTTTAATTCTTTATAATTGATAAAAATGCTGAAGTGAAAAAAATAAAAGGTTATAAACTTTGATGTTTCGAAGTTCGTTTGACTTCTTCCTCAGGGCACAATATTATTATAAGTTATAATAATGATGAGCAGCTCTTCAGTATGAGCAAATTTTGGGTTCACGTAATAATTGGCTCTTGTTCAAAACCCTGAGCTGATCATGAGTGAGCAAATATGAACCCTGATTATAAATATTTTTCCAAACATATCAAGCAGTTATTTTAGTTTCAAATAATAAACAATATATACAATATATATATATATATATAATGTTTCTAAAATATTTCATCAATTAAATTTACAGTGCAAAAACATTTAGGTCTCTACCATTTACAAAAGTCTGGGTTTCAAAAACAAACAGCTTCAACCAAATCGGAAGTGATAAAATCAATTTTGTCAAAATCCGTTCCGCTTGTAAAATAATGACTCATATGCTTTTTTCTAAATGTTTAACTTTAAGAAATTCAATATTAAAACATTCTTGCTTTTTTGATATTATATTGTAATTGATATTTTCTTTACACTACTAGTGTATTAAAACATATATGTAATGCCATTTTACTGAATCATTTACTTCGATTACTGAGCATTCTCACAAGAGATATGATTAAATATACTTTTAAGAGTGCAGTTCTAATAAAATTTAGAGAAAAATAATTGCAGTACTTTACTAATAACTTAATTTAGCATGTGACAATAAACAAATGATATTATTAATTTTTAAATTAAAAAAAAATTATCAATAGATTATAATATATCAATCATAAATTGCACGCAATAGCTATTACATTTCTTCATACCTGTGTGTAAAATTTAATATATACTTTGTAAATACTATAACATTATTACTTTGTATATTTATATAAAAACACTCAGCAACGTCTTTATGTGTTTGATTCAAAACTTACAATTTCTACTAGCACTTGTCTGTGAACGGAAGTGCAGCCATATTTGATTTAATTATTTGCAATTGATTTTAATTGGTAAAGTTTTTCCGTCATTTCCAGAACTTTAACGGAAATTATGTTGGCGTATTGGAAGCCATTTAATTAATTAAGGAATTATAACGTACACTTCATAACTAAGTCATACAAAACAAAGTAAGTTTTATACTGTTAAGAAAAGTTTTCAAACAAAAAGTAGATAAACTGAATCCTTCATTCACTTAATACCGCTAAATACAGCCAGAATACATAAATTTATTTAACAAGAAAAAAATGTTGGTGGATGTGTGCATTTAAAAATAAATTTAAAATTTTTTCTATAATAAATAAGAAATATAAGATTAATAAGAAATAAAAATATGTGTTTTAAAATGCAGAAATACTTGATAATATTAATATTTATATTACTTGTATTATATTAATAAACCTAAGTCCTGACTTTAAAATCGAATCAACATGTAGTAATTATATATATACCAATAAATGAAAATTAACTCAACCTAAGTGCTTAGCTAATGTGTTTGTGAAAGGCAGTAAAGAAGTTTTTAGTTTAATCATATATATTTAAATTAGTCAATGAAGGGTGACTAAAAGAGGCGTTTTACGGACTATTTAACTTTTTGTCTTGTAGCAAATGCATTTATTAACCGAATAAAATAAGTAACTCTAGCCGTAATTTTTTCTTTCAGAGTAGCAAAAAAATACTCGCAGCTTATGGAACAAAACATGTGAAGCAACAACAATGCTTTTAAAATCCTCAGAGTTAGGTTTTACTCGCGAAAAAATGTGAGACTAAAATTTTAATGCGGCCAAATTCAAAAATCAGTTTATTGTGAATATTCAATGAAAATATGTTTCAAAATTCAAGTCATTCATATCATATCATATTGTACACAATACAACAAAAAATATTTGTCAAAAAAAAGCATTCAATACATTTTAAAAGTGCTGCCAATTTCTTTCAACCAGAGTTAATGTTTTTTTTTTCCTGTTCTGAAAGAAAAAATAGGGCTACTCGTTGAAAATAACAATGTTCCTCAAAGTGAATTTTACTATAATTTTTAATTTATAATTAAATAAAAATGATATAAATACTAACGTTTATAATCTATATCATAATTTTATTAATAATTTTAATTTAAGATGTAAACTCACCTGTCTATTTCGTTCATCCGTGATGCGAGAAATTTGTATTTTCTTCCTACCCATGGCAGCAATTTTGACTAATATTTAACACTGGTATAAATTGAAATTTATAATTTTCTTTTACTTTTTGTTTAAACAAATGAAATGTTAAAACAAAAAAAAAACACTACAATTTTACAAAATTTTCCAACTTTACAGTATTTATATCACCACAGTGAAGTGGTGACACTTAGGTCGTTAAAATAGTTTATCTTTTATATTATTTTACACTTTATTCATTAATTTTAAATTTTCATAAAATGTTTTTTTTTTTTTAGAAATTAATATTAATATTTGGAAAAGTCATAATGTTTTTTTTTATCATATCCAACTATATGTATATTTATATTTAAATATTTCTATAGGTCAATGTGAAATTTTTGTTGTATATTTTTTGTTTTAGAATTTTTTACACAATAGAACTTTTTCTGTAATAGAACTGTGTGGACGGTGTTATTGTATTTCACTATGATTTTATAACTTATATACAAAATTTATTATCGACAGCAGTTATATTGTACATATTATTCCAAAAGTAGTACCAGGTATACAAGTTCTGAAATAAGATAAAAAAATATTATAATTAATTGAGATAGTCAAAATATAAAAAAAAATATATAAATTTTTTCAAATATGGTTAATATAAATAAGACCACTATATAATAATTAAATTAACCAAATTGCACCAAATAAATTAATAATTAATAATTAAATTTTTAAATAAAATAACTTTCACTTTAAATTAAATTTTGGTTCAAAAATTATTTGACAATAAAAAGTACTTTGCATAGACCTTTTTTTCTGTGACTATAAATCTAAGATACACTGGATAACTAAACATACTAAACTCGTTCATTGAAAAGAACGAAGTCATACTACTCCATCAGTTATGTGATGTGCAGAAAGCCCAACAACGTTAGCTTATAGCTCCACAAACAGTTTCAAAGGAATACATTGACGTTGCTTAAGGAATCATTGAAAAGTGAAAAGTTCATTGCTCCTCTGTGAATCTAATACGAATCGCATTGGTAGTCAAATTGTGTTACTTTATAAAACTTGTATAAGACTCAACTTTTTATGCATTAGACCGTTTACAGCATAATTTCTTTTTTTTATTTATTATTTTTTTTTTGTTTTTGTTTTGGATCATGTCGTTATAGATGTATTCATGCCAGAGTTTTGCGCATATTAAATCAGTTTGACCTATATACCCATTAAATATGGCCTGCTGTACTAATTTTTTATAATATTTTCTATCAGCTTCATACTTTTTTTTCTGTTTTTTGGGTTTCTGCAAGGCTTGTAAGGCTTACAAAATTGTTTAATCGAATTTAATTGAGTGTATTCCTCAGTTACGCGCACAATTTTCTTACGCATGATTTAACAAGGAATAATCAGTTACAAACAACAACAACAATAACAATAAAAAAAGAAAACTAAATAGAAAAAAAGATTTCCCATGACGTATATGGTAACTACGTAAATTGTTTGAAGTTCGTAAAAAGGACACAGATATGAAAGGAACTCAATATTAGTACAAGGTCTCAATAAAGTCAAGTCAAAACAGTTATGGCTTCTGTAATTAATATACAAGAGATTTATGTATTTCGTAAAATAATTAATATTAAATGAAAATATTTATTAGACTTAATGTGAAAATTATGTATTGAAATTAATTTAAACATAGTTATATTAATAATAACACAAAATTATTGGGTGATGCACGGGTATAGTTATTTCAATCCAATCATGTTAAGATGAGCCCACTGCTTATTAAGTAAAGAAGCTATTGCAGTGACCTATATTGAACTATACATACATATACCCGCATTATAAGTGAACTATCGCCATCAGGAAGAAAGTAACAATTAACTCCAAATAGTCGCATGAATATTATAGTAACCTATGTTGGACTATATAGGTATATATATATATATAAATTAACACTCGCGTCCTTTCAAATCCGGCTCCTGTGCTTAATTTTATTAACGGCAGGGGCTGGATTTGAGAGAACGCGTTTGTTAACTTATTTAACCGTATATATTAGTAAATTGTCAACAATAAAAGTGACAGTCTACTTCAAATGATCACATTTTAGACTTCATTTTATTATCGTTGCGTTAATGTTTTCTGCTAATATGCTTATTATTATTTATTTAAATTGAAGCATTAATCATCTAATAGGAATAATGGCTTGGATCATTCTCACTAGAGTTGACGTGTCACGTTTTATTAATTTAAGACTGGATTGAGCATCTAGTGAAAATGATAAATTGGATCACTTCCAATAGAGTTGAATCAATTAACATTACACTCTTCATTAATTTAAGAGTACATCTAGTGAGAATGATGGATTGAATCTTCCAGAGTTAAACCAACAAATGTACCATTATTAAAATGTATCATTAATTTAGAATGCGTCCTCGGATAGAATTTTTAATATTTTTGTGAATGCTTATGTTTCTTTAAATTCAAATGTGCTATTGGCCAACATTGAAAAAGTCGTCACTGAAATCAGATTTTTTTTTAATTTTGATTGACTGAATTAAATATAATAAGTCCAATAATAACTTCAATAATTTTAGACTAATTTTAAAATATTTGTATTTAAGTGAAAATTGAAATTCAATTTCATAGCTGTCAAAAACAAATATGTAACCTTCGAAATGTCAGCAAAGGCAGCAATAAGCCTCACATAACTTCAAACAAAAACCCTGTAAAATGTATAAAAGTGAGAGAGCAAGAAGCATTCCTAATTCCTTTCTTGCGTTCCACATGCTTCTGTTACTTCTCTTACTCTTATTCTTACTCTTCTTTTATTATTATTATTTATATATGTATATTTTTTTTTTTAGTTAAAAGAAGAAAGTATAAGAAAAAAAAATGGTTATTTGAGAAATTAACAGTAAGCAGCGGGTTGAAAGGCAAAACATATTGCGTAGGTCGGTATTAAAAAGCTAAAAATCGTGTGGTAGGCAACGCAACCGGAGTAGCATAGAACCAGAACCAACCAACATGGCAACATCAACGAAAATGATGGTGGCAATGGTAATGGCAGCGTTAACGGAAACAAAATTGTAAAGGCACCATAAGCATAATAATAAGGGAAAAGAATCGAATTGTAAGAACAACAATAATATTGTAAAAACCCGCAGGTTTTGTAGCCTTTTACTTGTTGTCACTCATTTCACTTCCAAAACCATTTCGTGCACACTTAAAGCACTCTCATGGTAAACGATAGATTTCCGTTTTCATTTCCGTGGCCTGTATTGTATAAGTAAAGAAAAAGCAGTTCTTGAAGAGGAAAAAGTGTTACACATATTTTATTTGCATACTTTTAGGTTTATAATGTCAAAAATATTTTCAGAAAAGCTTTCCTCTTTCTTTCCTCCCAGTGATTCTTTCAAATGCAGTGATTTTAAAGTCTTAACGTAAGAACTATAGCGTAAAATCCCTTTCAATGCCTTCAAAACACCGAGAAAAAATTGCCTACTAAAGCCTTTCCAGTTGTTTTTGCAAATACATGTAATTGTTTTAGATTTTATGTTACAAATTTTGACTTAAATCCAAGGACTTTATTTATTTGTATAGTATATCAAGAGAAGTATTTCGATTAAAATCCTTTTTTGATTTTGTTTGTTTTTTTCTAAATTCTTCAATTTTTATACATATTATTATATATTTATTTAACTCTCATATTCTCATATCTCAACTTTTTTGTTTCATTCAATTTTCTGCATAATTCCACATTTCTCAACAAAGTTTTGTCAATTTTTCAACTTTTTCACTAAACTGGCACTTTGATGTATGCCAGGTTCAGTTCAGGGAAGCAAATGAAATTTTTATGTTTTTGTGGTTTATTATGCGGAAAAGTTGATAATTTTTTGCATTTAAGTTCCGCTACTACTGCTACTACTGCTCCTGCTATTCCTGCCGCTCTACAGTTGAAGTTCTACAGTTGGGCAGCATAGATTTTGTTAGTAGAATTTCCAAACAATTTTGGTTTCAGTAAAACTTTGGTTACCAGACACGTGTGCCTTGCGTAGGCCTCAATATTGCGTGTGTTCTGTGTGTAAACTTTTCAAAAATTCATTGAAGCATAAATAATTTAAGTCTATTGATTAATCTGTGCGTTCAGTTCTGCAACGACGGTAATTAGTAGCAAATTAAAGTGATATATTATAAAATAATTGATACATTCTGCGGTAGTGGTTACTGACTGTTCCGAAATCATAAAATTTTTTTTTAAGCCAAGAAATAATGAATTGAAATAATCCACTGTAAAATATGCTTCAATTTGCAAATTTAATTAATTTAGTGGCTGATTGATGAATTTTAAATTATAAATTCGACTAAAGAACAGTTTCGTAGGTTCTCTTCTTAAATGCGATTTGCTTAAACAAAGAAGATAGAAACTTATTGAGAAAAATACTAAATAGGTTGAAGATCCTTTCTCTTAAACTATGACACCCAACCACTGATATAGAATAAAATAAATAAAATAAACTATTCGTTTGAGAAAGATTTATTTCTAATTTTAAGTCACAACTATAAATGAGATTTTATATATTATGCTTTAGAACTTTTAAAACAAAATTTTCCTATTTCATAATTTCATTTATATCACGTACCCCATAGAATCAAAAGTATCTAGGTTAATATTTGTCGAGACACTGAACTATAAGTTGGTATGGAGTCAGACTCGGTCTGCCCTGTCGAATCTTCTGTAGTAGATAACTACCGGTGCTTGCAAAGGAAACACCAGAGCAGCTATTGTGTCTACATCCATGCTTGCCAGGAACAATGTTTAACCTATAAGATATCAATCAGATATTTGTATTAATCAAAGCGTCCGACTGGTTCTAATATGCCCAACTTTCTACCCACAATGACGACGAATGTGGAACTAAAACAGGTTCTTTAGCTTATGGGGAGGATTCAATCCGTTTCCATTGCACCTATCTATCGTTCATCAAATTTTAAAATTAATATAAAATGTAATGTATAAGGGACCATGGATTTTCCGAAGAATTTTTCTCTCGAATGCTCCTAACGCTTTTTTATGTCCGCTGGTAATTGACCAAGCTACTGCACCATACTGCAGAACGGGCATAATAAAAGATTTGTAGAGCGTGATTTTTGTTTAATAGAAGAGGACTTTATTTCTCGAACATCTATTAGGCCGAAGTAACATATGTTGACTGGAATGATTATGCGTTGAATATCTAGGTTGACGTCACTACGATGGCTTTTACAACTTCGAACTTATAGTTGTCAACAGTGACGTAGGTCCCTAAATGGTCAGGAAATTTGCTTTTTTTTTTCTTTACTACTAGACCCACTTGCTTTGTTTGTTTTTTTAAGTTGGAAAAAGCTGCACTAACGGCGTGGGTTTTCATTTAGGCCAATAATATCAATATCGTCGGCATACTTAAGCAGTACGGGTATTCATTATTACAATTTAAAGTACTCATATTGCTAATAATAAATAGCAATCTCATTAGGTTATTTTTAATAAAAAGGAGATATATACCTACATATAAAAAAGGTATAATT